AGTCCAATGCATGAGTCAGGAATGAGTTGGAGGAGACAGCACTTCCTGGGAATGAATGCATACAGAAAATACTCTTTCAGATTTTCTTTCCCCAGATTCAGTATGAAGGATTAAGATTAAAGATGAGTTATTCAAACTGAAGTACCAGGTTATGGTTGGACTGTCAGCGCTGATGACTCAGTGTTGGGTCCTAAGACAAGAGACTACTACTGCTTTACAACTCGAATGTCACTGTGGGTTGATCTTTAGAGGCAGGTGAGTAGTGGGGAGGAAGAGATATTAAGAGACAGAGTCACTGGCTAGAATAGAGCTTTTTAGAGTCATGTTTTTCAGAGCCAGTCCATTTCTGGCAAAAAGCATTACTCTTCAGGCAAGTGTCTATTTGCTATGTTGATCCAATACAACGTTAGCTTCTGAAGCAGTTGTACTTGCTTTGCCAATTTTCTAAGTTCAGAACAGGGATAGAGTTAATAAAATAATGGAGGCATTTTGGATGGTTGAACTCTAATTTAAAAATGCCTACATGTGTATAATTTTCTTTCTTCCTGAATTCTTCTTGCTGAAAGAAGTTTTAGAAATGGAAATCTCTTGTTTACAGATGAGAAAACTAAGGTCATGAGAAGTAGAGGATTTGCTCAAGATTACATGGCTAGCTAGCTAGAGAAAGGCCAGCATCACGGTCCAAGATCTTAGACTTGGGGAAGTGCCCTTTTAACCCCATCCCAAGATTGTAGTCCATCAATGGTGACTATGGAGGCAATGGGAGCTACTGCTTCAGTGCAAGGAGAAAATCAGCATGGGCAACTGGGGCCATGTTGGCTCATGGTCTTCTCAGTGGAGTCTCAAAAAGATTTGATAAAGCAATTGGAAGACTTAGTATAAGCTGATATTTTGTTTTAAGTCAACTACTCTATGCCATGGTATTGTTTACCATATTAAGCTGGTCCACTAACGCTATCAATCTATAAATACTTGTGAGTGGCTACCATGGGTCAAGGCATCTCATCTTAGGGACTAGAGAGTGAGTAATAGTGGTGAATAAGGCATCCTCAATCCTTTTCCTTATGGACGCTCGGTCCTAGTAAAGGTTTTGGAAGAACTTTTCATTTAAGTCCCACTTCATTCTATCTATCCAAAATCCTTGGTTGGACTCTATCCCTACCATGACACTATTTGATAAAAAAACAAAATTCAGAAGTGTAAAACACATGCTTGTTGCAAATTTAACCCTTAGTCAAATATTTCATGGTGGAACGACTCTACTACCTCAGAAAACAAAACGAGAGAATGTTGACAAGCCTTAAATATCAGGAAACCATGGAAACTGTCCAAAGCATGAGAGTGATTTATTCAAGGCCTCAAATATCAGCAAAGTGAGGAAGTGAAGTGGATTCCTAGGCTTTTATCTTACTGATGTTTTACAAGAATGGATTTCTCAAAAATTTCAAAAAATTATGAAAATTCAAAACCACTTCTGAAAACTTAAAAGTATTTCTTCACATAGTAAGAAAATCAATTCGCTGACAGGACCACCTCACTTGCCCACATTAAGTCTATTTGTTCTTGCTTCACCCTAGTGGTTGGCAAACTGCCCTACACAAATAGACACGCAACATGCTTATTTAATGAACAAATGAATAAATGCTATGGGCATTGCGATAAGGCATTAATTTACATTGCTCACTCACGGACATGTATGAAACAAGTCTGAAAATTTACTGCAGACTTGTTCTGGTCCTAGCAGAGCTCTGTGGAAGATTTGGAGAATTCTGTTCATTCCACAGGAAAGGAAATTAAAACTATTTCTATGTTTTCCGTTCTTCACAGGTGAAAAGTCAAAATATGTTTTTGATGTAAAGTGTAGGCTACTGTCCAAAATATTATGCACCCCTACAAATTGACTCTTACCTTCTCAGGGAAGGTAGGAAAAGGAAGATGTAGTAACTCCTTTTAAGGACTGATCAATCTGGGAAAAACAGAAGAGAATTGGGAGGGAATGGACAGATATCAACAAAAGAACTGTGTTAGGCTGTTACTACTTACAAAACATTTTCTTATCTACTCTCTCATTTAATACTTATAACAACTCTGTAGATAGTATTATTATTCTCACTTTACAGAAGAAGACACTGAGGCATAAATGAATACGTCTAGAAATGGCAGAACCTGCACTCCGAGCTTATTCTTCTGACTTAGAAGTGGTGCTTTTTAAGCACCTCACCCCTTCTTTGTAAACAGGCCAGCGTCACAATGACTTGCACATCTATAGGCTTCACCCACAGATTCCAGAGTAAGAGACTTCGTGATAAATCTTTCTTAAAAATGATGGATGCTGTACATTGGTGCAGTCCCTATTTTAGTTGACAGCATCACCTTGTGGATGAAAATACATCTGGTGTGTGTTTTTATTTGTAAATATATGTTTACTCTGTTGATTAAGGGTAATGAGCCAAGCTATTATGCTGTCAATCAGAATTGTTTGGGGGTTGAAAAATGATTTTCCAGAGTTCATTTTTTAGTAATTAACTATTAAAGAATGATCAAATGATAACTGAGGAATGAACAGAACAAAAAGCTGCTTTGCTTTTGACCAGCTCCGTCAACACTGACTGTAATTTTTTTGCTGCCTTCATTAAATTTGTTGAGTAGTGGAAACTGAAATTTATAGCATTTGTGACTTTGTGGTGAGAAATGAAAGGGCAAAGTGAGATAGTAGCAGCTCAGTAGAACTTCATTGTCTAAAATAAGAGGGTAGTAGCACCTCAAAGTCCGGAGACCTTGACGTTCTGCCATTTCAACTTTGGTTAATTTTAAAGTCTCAGTTTCTTTACTTCTAACACAATGAGAATATGCCAAGTTTGTGGGATAGTTGTAAAATATCTGCTGACCTAAGTCTCTATATTTAAGATTTTAAGAGAAAGAGTCATTGCATTTAATGACAAGGAGTGAAAACTCCAAGACGATCATCCACCCAAGTGCAGACAGAGTCCACACCATTCAAGCAAAACAAGTAGACACATTTTAGCAGGAATCTTGGACATTTTTTTTCTGCAGTAGTTTTGAGAAGACAAAAAGTTTTATAAAAAATACAATTTTTTTTTTTTTTTGCTATAGTGAAAGATGACAAAAACTCTGATTCTTTTTTCCAAGCATTTTTTTTTAAACATAACACTAACTTAGCAATGGGGTAGGGCAGCTTATCCCAATTTCTCTGCTTTGGAGGTGATTATTTGATAGGAAACTTACCAATGTGTTTTATGAGGGGACTTCAACAAGTTTGCAGAAAAATGGAAGTACAGTATGAGTTTATTTCGGTAGCCAAAACATTTTGAAATACATGCATAGGTTTTTCGTAATACTCATTTTTCACGGGCTTTTTGAAAACCCTCCCTTGTATGTTATAGGTGATGTTCTGATTAAATGGTTCCTTCAGAAATGCTATTAGAAAATGTTCTGAGATATATCCATACATTATTATATTATTAAATGATATACATATACATCTATTTTTCATTTCCCTATTTCTTGTAAGAGAAAACTTATTGGGAAATCCACAAATAGTTGGAATGCATTTTAAATAATGTCTTCTGTTCTTGGAGTCTGAAAAAGGCTGGCCTAGTTCATTTTACCACACCAACCTTTTGCAGACGTTCCCTGCCAATCTCCCTCACCACACAGCTTTCTCCCCAGTTCAACCCTGGCAGCTGAAGGTCTTTAGGGCAAACTTTCAGTTTAAATTTCCCGGCTTTTTGTCAGTTTATGTCAAAGCCATAGCCACCTTCTCCCACTGACTGTGGTGGCTTTGTTTTCCCTTCCCCTCCATTTGCTACTTGTTAGCCTCTGTGTTTGGTGTCGGCACACTTACAGTAGGCAGAACACTGATGACAGATGGTGGTGGGGGGGCTGGGAATTGGGCTGCCTGGCAAGATGCCAAGGAATATGCCTCTCTGTGGGAACGAGCCGCCCAGAAGCTCTCCTTGAAGCCTTGTCCATTTGGTTTGGTTCTGTGGGCGTGTTCACATGTGCCTGTGCACACGTGGCACGTTTTGTTGTTGTTGTTGTTGTGGGTGTTTTTGTTGTTGTTTGGGCCAATGACAACAGAGGCCTCGCTGGCTGGCTGCTGCTTTCCATTCTTGGCAGTTTCCAGACTCCCAGACAGGAAATTCTCCCAACGATTGCAGCTGTGAATTGGCCCATTTTTCTGGAAAGAGGATAAAGAAGAGTTTTGTGGGATCTTTTGCTTTTCTCACACAGGCAGGGATGTGTTGAATACAAACAGGGAAATGTGGGGAGATCAAGGGGTGGGTGGGGAGAGACAGGGAGTGGGAGTCATCAGAAATAAGATGAAATTCTGTACCAGTTTCAGAATTGAGACACACGAAATGAGCTCCCTGGGAGATCATGCAGTTTTTTTCCTCTGGAGCCAGGAGTAGGACTGCCCTGAAGGTGAGTCTGCCTAGGCTCACAGGGGGTTAGCAATTAGAAATTCTTTGACAGACAAGACAGGCACACTTCCATTTATTCCTGCAACGCATGTCTGAGGGCTTGGTCCATGACTGGCAGTTTGCTGGGTGGTGAGGAGTCATGGAGAAGCAAGAGAAACAAAGTTTGTACCTCATGGAACTGACCTTTGGATTGACAGAATGCAAGCAAGCAAACATATGCCACACTCACACACTGCTGTTTTCCATGCAATGGAATAGAATACAGAGACAGAAAATGATGAAATTATTCACAACTCTTAATGAACACTTCTACATGACGAACCCTGTTCTAAAGGCATTTCTTATTTAAACCTCATAATAATTCTATGAGGTAAATACTATGAAAAAAGGCACTAGAGAGTGGGCAAGAAAGGTCTTTCTAAGAAGAGCTCTGAATTGAGATTTGAAGGTTGCAGAGATCTTGGGCACAGCATGCATATGCGCCTGCCATGAGTTTAAAGCCACCAGGCCCAAGACTCGAACCACAGTCAACTACGTGGGAGTCCAGTGACATACCATTACACCATCTGCTCATCCCAAGATAGGGAAAATCTTAAGTGTATTTAACTTGCTGAGAAAGGGGCTATGAGCCAGTGGAACAGAAAGCAAGATGGTAGGGAGAGAGGACTTGGGGGGTTGGAATGGTATGGAATAAAATTGGAGAAGAAGGCAGAATCCAAATCATGCAGAACCTTGTGAAGGGTGTGTCCTGCTCAGGAATATATGAATGGGAAGCCGTTGGAGGATTCCAAGCTGAGAAGGAACAAGAGTGGAATTACATTTGAAAAATGTTTCTCTATCTATGTTAGGGGAAATGGGATGGATTGGATAAGTGTGAAATAGAGGGGCCATTACTGGCAAGAAATGATGGCAACATGGATGAGGATGGTAGCTGTGAATATGGGGAAGGGGACGATTAGGTGTGTACATTGGATGTGGACACTAGAAAAAACGCCCATCAACCTGATGTAAGTGAGAAGGCAAGGTACTCACAGCTGGCACTCTATGTTCTGGCTGAAAGGGAAAGGACTGATGATGGATCAAGAATCCCTCCCTTAGCACATAGAGCAAGCACATGCTGCTTTGAAGACTGACAAGGTCAGTGCCAAAGAGGAAATCTGAGGACTTGAGAAGAAGAGGAAATTTCTTCCACTAAAAGGGAATAAAGCTTATATTGTATCAGATTAGAATAATTTTTTTTAATGTTGGTGAAGTGATGTTTCATACTTCAGCTTTCATCTCTTGTCTTATTTGATCATGCCCCTAACATGGTGGTGTAATTAGGATGATCTCACTTTTATAGATAGAGAAAATGAGAGCTCCAGGAGGGAACTGACTTCCCTGGGCACACAGGTAGTAATCCTAATTATTCTAACATTAATTGGAAGCATACTTTGTTCCAAACACTGTTCTTAAATGCTTTACATATGCCAGGTCTTCATAATTGTGGAAAGTAGGTTCTATTCTTACTCCATTTTTGCAAAGAGGTGACTGAGACATAGAAAGTTTAAATAATTTTTTCAAGGTTGTAAGTAACAACTCTGGGCTTGGAATCTGGCAATTTAGCTCCCTGACATAACTAGTGCTCTTAACTACCATCCTATACAAAGTATAATTGAATTAAGGCTCTTATTCTTACAACCTCTTCGTTATTCTAAAATGCCTCCTTAATACTACTTTTGATGATTACTTTTTCCTTATTGTGGATTTATGTAGTTGGTGTATTTTCAGCATTACCTTAGGTATCTGGAAACTCATTTCTCAAATATTTTTGTCCAAAGACTATACTGAATCATGACATGGCAACCATGAAAGCTCCCCAAAAACCAAAATTCTGATACAAAGACCATATCATGAAGAGACATAATTTTTAATAAAAATTAAAAGGGAATATAATATAAAACCTATGAGATAGTTTGTTCTATATTTACTTATTTATTGGAAAACATTTTTCTTTTCTCACTTTAAAGTTAACACATACCTCATGGAATGTCACTTCTTATTTTGTTGAAAGTCCTGGGGCCAAATAGGAAGGTAGGCACTATAAACATTATATCAGTTTCATTTTTATTATCTCTTAAAAGACGATTTATGCACATAACAAAGATGAAAGAATTAGGCCAAAAACAATCCCAATGTATACCCTGACAAAGTCTTATAGGTGATCATCTTGGCAGCATCTTGAATGTGCTTCGTGTCACATTTCTTCATCGAGGGCAAGATAGGAGAGAGACTATTTCAGCATTCCTTGTTCATATGAATCCTATCAAGATCTTTTTTGGATAAGTCACAATGACTGCCCGTGTGAAAGTAAGGGTGAACATGCATTCTGGCACTGAGCAGACTTCCAGAAACTGCTCTGTTCCTAAGAAAGATCGAAACAACTTCAGGCAATAAACTCTTTTGCTGTTTTGTTTTTAGGCTGTTGGTTAGCTGAATAACCATGGGACTGGGTCCTCACTTTGAAAATGCTTTAACTGGTATCTGGTGCCCAGATGATGGTGAACATCTGCCTCACCAGGTTGATTGTTGAAGCTGAAGTGAGTGGGTTTCTCCATCTGGCCACCATCCATCAGGTAGTAACGACAAGACAACAAAATGGTTATTCAATACTTTTCCAAAAATGTTCTGTACAACTTTGCTGTTAAATGTGCTCTGTTAGGTTTGAGGAGTGCTATGTTCTATTTCTGCCATGTGTTGGCATATTAAAAGCTTTGACAAGCCTGAGTAAAGAAAACCTCTGTAATTTTGCTTAACATAGTATTTTCTAGACTCTCAATTGTCTTCAATACGATAACCAGTGGTGTGACACTAATGTCCCGACTGGATCACTCTTTAGTCAATTTAAGGTATTTGGAGCCTAAATCTTGCTTAAACAAAATTTTGAGAAAAAAATAGGGTATGTGGTATGGTGTTTCCAGTCAGATATTGTGGGACTTCTGTGAACCAGTTTTGTCTATGAGCAGTTCTGTAATTTGGGGCAAGCATGAAAAAATGAATCTTTCCTCACAGAGCAGTCATGATCTGTTTATTTATTAATGAATTCATTCATTTAAACAATATTTATTGAATATTTTCCCAGTGACAAGCATTGTGCTATTGACTAGGGAGTCAAGAGCTTACTATGCCACTTGAAACTGAACAGTTTACTTATGAGAAGCCCCTGGTCAACCTGTTGTACCTATACTATCTTGGCACATCAATTATCCTAAATAAAAAAAACCCTAGAATTTGTGAGAGGACACATGTACTCATTGGAGAGAGACAGAGAGATAGATGAAGAAAGAGGGAGAGGTAAAAAGAGGGTGAGAAATCAACCTCCAGGGGGGATGACCATGCCACAGTCTCTTCTCCTCTATTCTCCTTTCAGGATTTTTGGTACATATGCACATGTCTGGAGTGTTTTACAAGCTTCTGGTCCGTAAGTTGAACCTTGCAGTTGACCTTGTGGGATCTAGCTTCCTTAACCACCATGACATTGGCTGATCTGTTATCCTGATTTTTTTGGTATCACATAGCAAGAGAGATTCACCAGCAAGCCTGGTCCTTTCAGACCAGGTCAGATGTTTTTCAAGACTTCCAAGTCCAAAGAGCTGTCGTTCAGAGCCTAGATGGTAACGTAAACTATGCCCAAGTAAAGATAAGCTATTTGTCGAGGCTTTGAGAGACATTGGGGTAGGCAACGACTTCTTAAATAAGACCCCCAAAGCATAGTTGATAATCCCCAAAATAGACAAGTGGGATTACATTAGACTAAGAAGTTTTTGCATGGCAAAAGACAGTAATTAATGTGGATGGACAGCCCTCAGAATGGGAAAATATTTTTGTAAACTATGCATCAGATAAGGGACTGATAACCAGAATACACAAGGAACTCAAGCAGCTGTTCTGAAAAAAGATGATCAACCCTATTAAAAGATGGGAGAAATAGTTGAAAAAACTACTCTCTAAGGATGACATACAAATAGCCAAAAGGCATATGAAAAATTGCTCAACATCCCTCATTGTAAGGGAAATACAGATCAAAACAACAATGAGATACCACCTAACCCCAGTCAGAATGACTAAGATTAAAAAAAAACAAACAAAAAATGATAAGTGCTGGCTGGGGTGTGGTGAAAGGGGAACTTTCTTACACTGCTGGTGGGAATGTAAATTGGTCCAGTCACCATGGAGAACAATTTGGAGATTTCTCAAAAAATTACAAATAGAACTACCATGTGATCCAGCAATCCCATTCCTTGGTATCTACCCAAAGGACAGAAGAATTCTTAATCAGAAAAGTGCTTGCACATTGATGTTTATTGCATCATTATTCACAATTGCTAAGATATGGAACCAACCCAAATGCCCAAGAACAGATGAATGGATTGAAAAACTGTGGCACATATACTCTATGGAAT